TGCCTAAAAATGCACAAAGTCTGCAGCGGAAAAGGAAGGAACTACGCGATGCGCATTCATTGCACAGCATGCAGAAATTGTATTCCAAACTTCAATCGCGATTTCCCACATCCTACCGAAATTAACATACGACAATCTTTTACCCAGGCGACGATATATCTCAAAAACGCGAAGATAGATTTTCTCCAAAGTCTCTGAAAATCTTACTAGTTCACAAAATTCTTAAATTATTTAAATTTTAATGTTTATTGTTAATTAGTTTTGAGTTTATGAAAGATTTTTTTTAGAAAAATTTTGTTGTAAGCGTCATTTGTCCACAATTTGGCAGCCATCATCAAAATTTCTACCAAATTAACGACACTTTTTACTCAATATCTCGGAAACTAAAGGAGATATCCAAAAATGGAGAACGCCATTTTTAAGATATTGATTAGTTTAATATGACTGCATCACCAACTAAATTTTTACTAAATTATCGAAAAAGTTGTATTCAATATCTCGGAAACTAAAAGAGATATCTAAAAACTGACACCAATCGAAAGACCTTATTTCAAAATATATAACTGCATCTAGAACTAAAAATCGTCAAAATAGCGTTTACAACAATCTTTTACCCAGGCGACGATATGTATGCATGCTTAAGTTTCTATGTATATACATACATACATATGTATGAACTAATTTGTTGCAACTGGTTTTGATATTAGTAGATGGTTTTAGGTATTTTGATAAAAAAGCAAGGCGATAACTAAAAAAAATTAAATCATTTTAACTGGGACCGGTGATAACTGGTGAACATACATGAATGATATAATAGCTCTGATCCAATACTTTCCGTGTAAAATCCTGGAAAAAGTGCAAACTGCAAAATCACTCTCTGAAGAACACTCTGAGAGTAAAAGTGAGTAACAGCAAAACGTACGGAAAAAAAAAATCTTGCTACTTCAGTCACTACAAAACTCTCCAAAAATCTCTCATTAACATGAACCACAGATTATATTCCGAAAAGAAAAAATAAATTTCGGAATACGTATATACAAATATAAATGCTCAAACTACTAGTAATTTTTAGAAAAAAAAAACCGACTTCAACTCCCATATAAAAAATATATATATCTCATGATCCGCTGATCGGATCTTAACCAGATTAGTATGGGACCACCTCTTAGACACTACCTTTCCGATGCAAAAAGAATTATCGAAATCGGTTGACGTGGCCCAAAGTTATGCGGTAACATACATAAAAAAAAAAAATAAAAATAAAAAGTCGGTTAATAAGTTCAAAAACAGTAATTGGTGCGGTGTTTTCAAGATATTTTAACGCCCTTGAGTCAAGTATATACAAGTACCATATTTTATCAATCATACCGATAATTTCATGTATTAAAATAATTAAAAATGAAAATAAATAAAAATAAATTAAATCAGTAAAATTAATAAAATTATGTGAAATTAATGTTTAATTTCTAGCCTAACCTGTGTATGTACATATGTAACTGAATAGCTTTGCAGGTTTTTACGGGGAGCTGTTCCACCTTCTATAAGGTTTATTAATGACGAAAAAAGCTTTTCCTGCAAATCCTGAAAAACCTGCAAATCGTGAAGCATTTAGAACTCAACTAACTAAAAATGCGTATCTCGCGGTTTAGTTTCAATTCAGTATAATAATCAAGTTACGTCCATTTAAATTTGATGACTTTTTTTAAATCCTATTCTTAGTTACATACATACATACGTAGGACACATCGATATGTATGTTTATTTAGGTACTCTGTGCGAATATGCTTACAAATTTAGTTAGTCGTACCCTGGGCTAGTAACATCTAACGGCGCTTTTAACATCTAAGCGAAGTTACGATAATTAAAGCCTATTAACATTAGGGATATACATATGTATGTATGTTTATGCATACTAAGTACAATAATATAGTATTTTTTTTAACTAAATGTACTTAGTTGGCGCCCAACTATGTATTTGATTTGAGTTATGGTTTGTATATTCCCCGAATATGGGCACTTAATGCAATCAATACGTAATTCTTGTAAACGAAGACATACATGACTTATGTATGTATTCTGCTAAATAAGACGTCTAATTGGATTTACTTTTTATTATTCATTGCTTTCAAGGTAGGAAAACAGATACACATATTGACAACACCTACCAAAAGCGAAAATTTGCTTTTCCTTTTCTATGGGATTAAGTATTTTTTCATTCAGACTTTTAAGTTAACATTCTTCACTTTTCTTTTCCGAGACCTTTCGCTTCAAGTGTGGACTTTTGACTAGACGTTGATGGTCGATTTTGCATTTTTTTAATGTTTAAATGTAGGGACAAAGTCATGACAGAACAAGAAAATAGAAATAAGTAATCAAGAATTGGACTTTTCCTAATTCAAGAATAATATAAACACCATGGCTGGATTTTTTAAATTGTTTAGAGTATAAGTGGTAGGTTATTTTATTGTATAAATTAATGATGATAAAAAATATGGATTTTATTAAAATTTCATATTAAATACATACATACATAGATATATATACATATATAAGTATATATATATATATATACAAAGTTT